ACAGGTGTATGTCTCGTAGGAAACCGCTGAAGGTGGGGCGAATCGGGAGTTTCGCTGTGAATATGCAAAGCCACCAGCCGTCCGTGACGCTCTTCATGTGCTCGTTTCTGGTAGTTTACGATTGTTGTATCCATCAGCGTCTCAATGTAAATAAGCAGCCGGAGCGAGTGTGTTGATGTGTGGCTGTCGGAGAGAAACTGCAGCGCGCTCTTCAGTGTGTTACAGGATTGTAGGTGCATAAAGCAAACCTGCTGCGTAAATCTACACAGAGAGACGCGGTATTGTGTCATATAGAGAAAACCAGAGGAGCTCTGCCACGGAAAGGTAAAGTTTCACATGCATAATATTGCACGCACCGTTCACAAGTTTTAACCCACATAAATGTGCTTTTATCCTTTATTTCATATAACCATACATATGGTCTGGAATTGCATGTTGAATAATGTTCAGACATGTGGAGCCCCATCATATGTGTTGCATTGCTGACATTGCAGTCCTGCATGTAATATCCGAATATTCTGAATATTTGATATGTGTAATGCAATGCAAGGTGCGCGTAGGTGTGCTACACCCTATAATGAAATGAATATATAATCATGTCTGTTACTGTGTTTTCGTATTAGACAATTCCTGAAGACTTTATTCAGATTTGAAATATCTGGTTACTAGCTAGTTGGAGCAGGTTGTGTGCTTGTAGTCTCGCACAAACCTGTTGTAAGGGGGATGGGATATGTTTACACTGGCTTCTGTTAATTCAGATTGAACACAATCGGGATTGAGTGAGGTGATGTGTGAGAAAATGTATCATATTATTTACTCACTGCCCATATTATAATTACTAATTAATAGTTTATCTCACTGTATGTGTGTGTGTGTATTAATCAACATTGGATTCATTTGCACATTTAAAACAGAAATGCATCAAATATATTTAATTTGATTTGATGCATATGAATCCAGTGTTGGTTAATTTGTGAAGAAAGGTCATATTTCAGCTCAGTATTCAATTTTGCATAATAAAAATGAAGTATTTACAGTGAGATTTGTTTTTACATTACACTTCTTAAACATTATTTTCATGACAATTAAGCACATTTCTCCCCAGAATTTACAATACTTTAACACAAGAAAATCGTGTTCTCATTACAAGAATACAGAAATGAAAGTCTGGACGCAATGATTTTTAATAAAATTAAGTAAAACAGATACTACCATAATTAGTTTTTTTTTAGAATTGTATTATTATTTAATACTTTACATGTGATATGCACTAATGCATTATATATATTTTTTGCACTAATGCAATTCTCACAATAAATACAATTTGAAGGGATTTAAAATAGGCTAGATTTTTTCTGTTCAAAATAAAATATCGTGTTTTTTTTTTCTGTTGATGTTGGGGCTAAAATATGTCCCTGCATGTTCTTGACAGGTTTTGTGAGGTTCACCTAGATAATGGATTGTTGGTTTTAGTTTACGGCTGTTATAACAGCTGTTTAAATGCTCTTTCCTGCTGCTACAGTAACTGTTTACAAGCTAGGCTTTGCCAGACACAAAACTAATGAAGTTAACCAGTCAAATTAGCTCATTTGTGTATTGCACACTGGCTTCGGATGTGTCTGGTGGTGTCTGTATTTTACAAATACCCTTGTTTTAAACTTGTCTTTTAATATGTGTCGTTACAGGTATCCAGTATCAGTCGTAGCCACATCCTAAAGCCGATCCATTGAAGACCACCCTGATCAAAGGCAGATTCTGTAGTCTTGCATGAATGTGAGAGGATGCATAAGACTGTCGAAGGGTCCGATCAAAGCGTGCACTGACCCGAGACGCCGGTCAACATCAGGTATCCATGAGGACCGAACAGGAAGGAGATGGAAGCGGTCGCTCGTAGCGGTATACCTTACACACTGTGGTTTCGGCGTTGAGAATAAACCCTTGTGCTCGCGTTTGGCCTCTCAGTCCTGTCCCGCTGTGTTCTGCCATTCAAGCATGGGGCACACTGTGGATTTAGCTTTGAGAAGGATGTGGCTCTTCGGTGTTCTGTCCCTGTTCACGGGCAGCCTGGGCATCCACATGGATT